GCCTGGAATTGAGTGGCATTGTCACTCAGAATTAGCTCAGGACACCCTCGTCTCGCAACAAATCTTCGGATAGCATGCAAAAAGGTTTCTGCGGATTGGTCTTCTGCTAATTCGAGATGCATGGCTCTTGTTGTAAAGCATGTAAATAATATTACCCACCTTTTTGTTGACACGCTATTGCCCTTGATTGAAAGAGGGCCAAAATAATCCACGCCAACACGTGCGAAGGCTCTAGATCGATTGACACGAGTTTCCGGGAGACTTGCCATCGGTGGTAATTTAAACGATCTGGAGTTCCAACGCTTACAGATTCGACATCTTTTTATTATTCGCTTTACTTCAGTCCTGCCTTTGGGAATCCAAAATCTACGCCTTAATTCTGAAAGTGTATGGGCGATACCTGAATGACATAGATTTTCATGTTGGTGTAGTATAAGGTGTGATATTCCTGTGCTTGTAGAGAGATCTAAAGTTGATATTCCTTTATTTGTAGAGAATTTTGTAATGCTCATAAGATATTTAATTACAGTACAAAGAATTTAAATGATTCATTTTTGCCAATTTGGCAATCCTGAATCATTACCTGGATCTTCTTTTCCTTCGGTTTGTACTGCTATATGCTAATTTGTTGTTTCGTTGTTTTCGTCATTTTTTGTGAATTTCTATTTTTTATTATTTACTATTTTTTTTTTTTTTTTTTGTGGTGGTTATTTGCTTTTTATGGATTTTGATGGAAAAAATTGCAGTAATATAGAGCTAGCTTATTTCAAATACTGCAGCATTGTTCATTTTTGTACCCAAGTTTTAAACTTTGATTTCTCTAAAAAAGTGTTTTTTCTTTTTAGTTCTTTTTAGCTTAACTATTTTTCCTTTCCTCATGCCATTACTTTCATTTCACTACTTTAGAATTTCGATAGTATTAAAGTTGCATCCACTATTTTCACTATTTCTTTAGTTGATTTTCGTAGGTCCCAGTTTCTTCGCTGATTTTATTAGGTTATTTATAAAAATGTAAATGAATGTGTGCCGATTTGTTTTTATGTATATTTTCAATTTCCCTGAAGTGTGATATTCCTGTGTTTGTAGAGAGATCTGAAGTTGATATTCCTTTATTTGTAGAGAATTTTGTAATGCTCATAAGATATTTAATTACAGTACGAAGAATTTAAATGATTCATTTTTGCCAATTTGACTTCTGTATAAAATTTTAGAGAACTGTGGTTTAACTGTTCTATTTATACGACATATTATTGCTCAATCTTTTACATAGCTCACAGTTGTCCCCTTTGACCTTTGATGTTGCTACTATCTTATCTGCTAAGTCGGGTATAATCTAAGTTACCATATTCGGAAGAAATGATTTTGGGGAAAAGTTCATATTGAGAGATTTGGAAAATTGGATGAATGAATCGGAAAAAAAAAACCTGTCAATTAACTGTGAGCAATATTTTGCAATCAGAGATAAATAAAATAGAATGATGAAACGGATGTTTTGGCTTAAGAATGACAAATGTTATGGAGTTTTGATTTCCTCTGTATTTTTGAAAAAAGACTTTTGTGGATAGAAATTTTTGAATTTTCGAAACCAATGAAATACTGAAAAGGGAATTTTTCAGTTTTTGGCAGAGCGCGGAAAGTGAATGGGGGTGAATTCAAATAATGGCCGTTGGATTTTCCTTTCCTACGGTATAACAATACTGTATTGATTGCAAATTTATAAAATGAATAGTTATTTGTACGCCGTAACTTGAATTTCTTTTTTTGAGAAATTAAGGTTTTTTTTTTTTTTTGAATAAATTTATTTTTGGATTTGAATCTGTTTTATATTTCTTGGTTCTTTTATTCCTTTTTTTTTTTCAACGTTGATAGCCATATTTTAAGCGCAAAAAAGCTTGTAGCATTGATTTGTAATATAAGTAGATTGTCTTTTCTTTTCCTTTCTTTTTTGATTTGGAGATCAATTAACCATTGATTTCATTACTTTCTTTTATAAAAAGGTAGTGTTATTATCAATGAGTGACTGATATATAAGCATCACAATTAGGATTTTTACCGTTATGTAAAAATAAAGATAAACTTAGATAGATTAATATAGGTCTCGTTTTAAATGTACACTGAAGTAGTAGCTTTTAATTTTGTATTGCTTTGCTTTAGAAAAGATTCAAGCCTTGTCATTTTAAGCCTTTATAATTGAATTTGTTTAATATAGTTTTTGTACTTACGAAAATTTAGTCTTTTAATTTTAAATGAGTATAAAAAGTCTCAAATGCGCGTCCTTTATAGAAAGGTGCATGTGAGTATTTGGAACCGTAATGTAATCATTATTTTACTAGTACACTTCTTAGCATACATCAAGCTTTATCAGAAATTATTCTAGCTTTTTCGGTATTTAATTATCTCTAGAAATTTATTTTTTTATTTTTTTTTTCTTTTTGCTGAATACGATATTCCCGTAAAAGAGATCATATCATAGATGTGCTATTTTATTTCTTTTGGTCTTCGCCACAACGGTCCACAGCGTTACATGGTGCCTTAAATGCTGATCGATTCCAATAATGTATTCCAAATCGGGGTCTCATATAATTTCAACATTCTTTCATTTCTGCATAGGCTTTTTTTCATGTTCATAACAATTATTGTAGTTTTAATATAACTATAAAGTTTCTTTTCTAATTTTCTAATCTTTCAAATCCAACTTTCTGTTCTTATATGATCTTTTGCATCCTTTTCACTTCCTTTTCTCTTTATAATGAAAAATAATTAATAATAATAATAATTGATTGTAGTAAATAACAATAATTATAAATCTATTGAAAAAAATTTGATTCAAATCATTAGTTGACTAATCGATGATATCTGTCTTGGCATATCTGATTAATTTACAACGATTGTAGTGTAATGTTATGATATGATCAAATTTCAGAGAAGATTGAGCAGAACAATAATTTAATCGTTGAAAAATAAAGTGAGTGAAATGTGATCTGAAATTTTGTGCAAATTTAAGAGTGCTTATCAAAATTTATCCTAATACTACTATCACTTGAATACTTTTCAAGTTTCTTCAAAATTTTTATATTCTTTTAAATAAAAACTCTTTTAATAAGTGAATTTTATTGCTATTTATAGAAGTAATTTTAGAATATAGCTAAAAGGGATTAACTGTTAACTTTCAATAAATTAGCAAAAAAATTTCATTTATTCCAATTTATAATAATTTCTTCTTAAATACTTTTCAAAAGACAATAACTAATCTTTTTGGTGCTTTTTAGTTCTTAAAATACAAAAATTAATTCTTAATACTTCTTTAAAAAAAAAAAAAAAAAATACAAAAATTAATTTTCTCCGTAATATTTGTTTACTCGCAGATGAAAAACTAAAACAGTAGGAAAAAAAAAGAACGGAATGATTCTAGCGTATATTCATGATACATTTTTAATTCAACATTACTTGAAAATAGATTATCATTAAAGGTAAACATCCTTCTTGATTTTATTGATTTATTGATTAATCATTAAAGATAAACAATTTTCTTTTTCAGTATAAAATAAGCTAATCAATTCTTATTTTAAAGCTAATCATTTACCTGATTATGATAGTTCTGATGATGGAATTCGAAAATATAATTATGTGATTAATTATTATGTGAAAAATAAAAAAAAAATATTCGATCTAATTAATTTGTATTAATGAATTTTATGTCTTGGATGATAATTTAAAGTAATTTTCTATTACAATAACAGTTGACAATTCTTGAGTAATGTTAAACCGTCTAACAAAATCAAAAAGAAACAAGATGAACAAATTCAATAAGTACAATGCGCTTATCAACTAGCGCCTCCTCACTATAAACTGAAGCATTCAATTCATTTGTCACATTTATTTTGAATGTGACATTTTGTTTATCCATTGTTTATTTCTCATAAAACGATATAGAAAGGAATTACATTTTATATAAAAATTCAATTATGTTATTATTTTTGTTAAAAAAAAAAATCAAAAAAAAAATGTATTTATTTATTACAAAGTGATTGTTTGCTAATTAACATGTAGCGTGAAAAGTTAAAAATGAAAACGTGAACTTATGTATAAAAAAATTGCTGTGTATAAAAGCAATGATAAATGTTATCAATGATATCAAGCATAAAAATAAGTAATCATTAATGATAATGATTAAAATATAAGAAATATTGAGCGCAGCTACTATTATCTAGTTTCATCTTAAAATTTTAGCTATATATTTCGAAAATAGTTGAAAAAAAATTAAACTTACATCTAAATTTATTTATTATAAATCAGTTCATTTCGAATAATTGACTGATGATATTGATATAAATAATGATAATAAAGTATTCTCATTTCTCATTTTAGTCAATATTTTTATCACTCGAATATTTTTGTATCATTTGATAATAAGTGATAATAATCCATAGATGTAATTTACATATTCAATGCTACAATCATTTGTATTATTTACAGAATGTCTAACTGATACTACTGATACCAATTAATTGATACTGATATGGGTTAACTGATACTGATGCCAGTTAATTGATACTGATACTAATGATACTGATACCAGTTAATTGATATTGATACTGGTTAACTGATGATATTGGTCAATTGATGTTGATACTGGTTAACTGATACTGATACTGGTTAATTGGTACTGACACTAATACCAGTTAATTGATACTGATACTATCCAACAACTAACACTAATACTAGTTAATTGATAGTAACTGATGAGAGACTGATACTAGTTATTTTCACAGTGACTCAATTGTGCCGGATTAGGAAACTGAACAGTTAGTTTTCCTGAGAGACTGGGGACGATATAAGAGGAGAAGTATTGGAGGGTAAGAGTTATGAAGTTATAGAATCGTTGTATTTTGGCTTGTGGAAAGATGAAATATAAGGATTATAGAAAGTTGTTTATGTGTTTTATTTTTATTTATAGTTTTTTTTTTTTATTTATTTATTTTAATTTATTTGTTTCAGATATGATAAAAGGAAAACGTTCATTTCCAAAGCGTCAAAATAATGTTAGAGTATTAAATTCATCACGTGTTGAGGAATTTGCTATATCCGATCATAATCAATCCATAGATGGCATAAATGAACTTTCTGCATGTAAAAACTTCTATTATTTGATGTTAACTTTTTAATATTAACTAATTTTTTTTTTTTTTTTTTGATAAGAGAATTCTGGATTTTGAATATACAGTAATAACTAATTATTGAGAACTATTGAAATAAGTTGGTTTCAAATTGGTAGTATTAGTTGTGTTTCAAGTTTTGCTGTAAATTTGATCCTACGACAAATTTTTATTGTATGATGATGGAAGCTTTGTCTTTTTCTAGTTTTTTAAATTAAAATGTTGAAATTTCTAGATGAAGTTTTGTCGCTCAGAAAAAATACAGAAGATGGTATTAAGTCCAATTTGAATGAAGAAAGAGTGGCATCAAGTTTAACTAGTAGAACAGAAGTCAGTTAGTTTTTATTTTGATCTTTTAATATATATTACTTCAAAGAATCAAGAAGACTTAATGTTTGGAATTAAAACAAAACTATGATAGATGCTAGTAGAAGCTATGTCTTGGTATCATCTCGTTGAAGCGATAACAAATTAGACAGGGAATACTTAATTTGTCAAAAAATGAAAAAATAAAGAAAGACTGAACACAGAAAAGACAGGGATAAAACTATGCCAAGTTTTTCTGTTTGTTGAATATTGCAAATGTTTATAATTAATCCATGAGTTAAATTTAAAAACTGGAAAGGTTGCTTGTTAATTCTGGTTTGAAGCCCCATATTATTGTATTATTATACCGTTACAAAGTTTTCTTTAACGTGTTATTGTTAATCTTTTCTGTGGTTCAGAAAAACAGAACTATATGCAAATATCGCATTTCTATTGTTTTACTTTAAGAAAAAGTTTAGGACAATAAACCATGCAGAGATTTCGTAAAAAGCGATAGGAACGTGTTAGCGTCGGATTTTCTGTCTAAATACGGTGAGGAAACGGATGAAATGAACAAAACTAAGGAAAAGCAAAAAAAATTAATGAAGAAGGAGATTCGAAAGAGAACTAAGCGGAAACGTAAGTTAGTTCATCATATTCCTTTATTGATTTATCAACAATATTGCACGTAAATTCTTAATCCTTTATGCTAATAGAAATAGCTATACATGTTGAAATAAATTACAAATATATTCCTAATACAAGTGAAAAAGTCGAGTTGCTTGTTACTACTATTAGTTTATCTAGAGGGTTAATCAAATTTGAAGTTTTCGAGATTAACCTAATGAGTTGGACTTTAAGCCTGACTCACCGATTTATATCGTTACTCCAGGGATGCTTTATTGAAAGAATAAATCGGGGACTGTTTCTTGAAATTTGCGAATAGCTCCTTCTGCTACGAGCGATCCATTACAGTTTAAAATGAAAAGTTGCGACTATGTTCAATTTATCTCTGAATAATCTGTATACTAAGATGTTGGAAAGTTATTTTTACTGCATCAGTAATGACGGATAGGTTACGGTGCAGACGTCACCCATTTATAAATATTATTTTCCAGGTAAATCAGTTAATAAAAGAGAACTAAGTGGTTCAATTAAAACATGGATACCGGCACATTCAGGTAGTAGCGTCTTCAGCTCATTATTTAGGAATTGTGATGATTCGAAAGAAATGCAGGATTCAGTGAGCCAAAACATATCTGACAATGCATCGCAAAATTTTGAAAAAAAAAGAAAAAGGAAAATGCAAAAAGAGGTTGAAAAAATATATTCAGTTATTTGGAAAATATCAGATTCAATTTAAATTCTTATCAAACATTGTTCTGAAAAGTCCAGTGCAAGTGCTTTTCATAGGATTTCATAATCAGTTAAACAAAGATAACAAAACTAATTTGAAATATGATTTTTTTAAATTAATTTTTGTAGGAAAAGTAGTATTAAATAATTTTGATTTTCATTATTGAAAGCTTTACTCTCAGTGATAGTAGAAGTCGTTTTGGATAGAAAATCTGCACTTTTATTACTATGTATGGTGTTAACTTGCAAAATAATCATGCAGATTGTCGATTGTTTGAGTGAAGGAGAAGAAATAGAGGAAATTAAAATCGTAAATCTTTCGGATTCAAGCCATGGAAGCTCTTTTGAAAGTGACGAAATTAATGAAGACAAAAATATGGTGGATGAAGAAGAGAATGATAAAGAATTGATTGATGGTGAGATTAAGTTCAATTTATTTTTCGTTTCTTCAAATCTGAAATATGTACACTATTCAAATGCAAGTAATATTTACCGGATTTGCTTCCAGAAAGAAGTACAAATAATGCGGTTCGTGAAAATTTTGTAAGGTGTTACGGAAAAGAAAAGGATGAAGATGCCAGTGATGTAGTAATCGATTTTGAGCAGAAGCCTTTCTCAACTCATTGTGATTCAGTACAAAATGGATTGGATGCTATCCAATGGCTTATTGATCCCTACGACCTAACACAGTTTTTCAAGTTTGTTGTTACATACTTATTGAAATTCTGCCTGTCGAAATTTATTTAAATTGATTCCTTTCATATGAAATATTTCAGAATGGTATTCCAAAAGAAAGTATTTCATGTTTGCCATAATAACCCGAATTACTACGGCAATTTATTTAGCACAGCGAAATTTATCGACATTCTGCAAACGGTTCGTATGTTAGATTTTAATTATTAATATTTCTTACTTGTGATTTAATAAATTTTAAAATCTTGTAAAAAAATTGAAAGTTTAGGATTATGTTGAATACGGTACCAATGTGAATGTTGCTGTTTACAAGAATCAGCAAAGGTCAACTTTAAATGGTTCTGGAAAGGTTTATCCCCAAGCAATACAAAAAAGTATTGAGGTATGGAATCGCGAATTTCTGAGAATAATGAATAAGAATTCTGAGAATTATTGTGTTTTCGTTTTAAGCGAAGAAGCCAAACATTTTCACAGTAGCAGATATTGAAGTCTTTTATATAATTTTCTGGGTAACATGCTTTTTTGTGTTTCAGGCTGGTTGTTCAATACAGCTTACAAATCCTCAAAGCTTCTGTGACAATGTTTGGTACTACTGTGATTTGTTACAGGAAGTATTTGGTTGTTTTGTTGGAGCGAATATGTATGTTCTTTTTCATTAGTTCTTTTTTTTTTTCCTTTTTAACAAGTTGAACTGCTTCATATTCTGTTTGAAATCTTAAAGTATTGAAGGAAAATGAATATGCATTTAGCATTTTAAAGAAATAGAATTAGAATTGTAAGAGTGCTCTGGAATTAGACAGTAAATATAATTGAAATGAAATTAATATATTTGATGCATTTAATAAATAGTTTGTTTTGCATCTGTTTCTAAAATGTTTTCTTGAAACTCCATTTCAATTAATTGCTTTTCAAATTCCATTTTCTTAAAAAAGTGGTTATTTACTGTCTCTTTTTTATTTTTTTACCTTACAGTTATATAACTCCCGCAAATACGGCTGGCTTCGCCCCTCATTGGGACGACATCGACGCTTTCTTGCTTCAATTGGAAGGGCGAAAACATTGGAAAATATATGCACCGGATAGTGATGATGAGATGCTTCCTCGATTACCCAGCGGTCTGTATTAATTTTTTTGATGCATGAAAACTTGTAAAATGATATTATACAATTGATATTCTTGTTTAGGTAATTTTACGGATAATGATGTTATTAATCGTATGCTTGTTTTTGATGATTGGTTGGAGCAAGGCGATATGTTATATATTCCGCGAGGTTATATCCATCAGGTTGGTAGATATACTGAACAATTTTTTATTGTGAAATACTGTTGTGCAATTTTATCGATTTTTTTTTTTAGTTCAGTTAGTGTTACTATTTTGATATTAAATTATATAATTTCCTTAAAATATGTGTGATAAATTAATTGATAGCTATTTCATGATATATTTTACTTAATAGATTTTTCTTATGGTAAAATACGATGCATGTTGGAATATTGCACTAATTTATATGTTTGTGCTGTTATTTTGTTCATTAAATCTATAGGGTTTCGCAGACAAAGATGTTCATTCGTTGCATCTCACTGTTAGTGTTTGTCGCAATGTCACATATGCTGATCTCTTGGAACGTGTCATCCCTCCTGCACTATCTAATTTTGCTGAGCAAAATGTAAACATTCGTAAATCATTACCAGCTCGTTATTTAGATATGACAGGTGTATTGGAATGTGACTATCCACTATTGAAAACTGGTACTATAAAGTATGCATTTCATGAATTTTATGTTTAGCAAAAATATGAACTTGTATCATTAGAATGAAGACAAATTTTAAGTAGAAAGGACTGAATTTGATAGCTTAGGAGGTATGACATCTGAAGAAATAAGCCAGAATTCGTCCATTTGAAAATTTAAAATGTGTTTAATACAAATGAAATGAGAATCATGTATTTGTTGTATAATGTAATAAAAGGCAAAGTTTAAGATTACATCGATTTCTGGATAGCATCTTTTCAAATTTCTGCAAATATATCAAAGAGTTAAGTGAACCGGCTGTTGATATGATGGCCAGGGAATTTATGAGAACGGCACTCCCACCTGTACTCACTAAAGGTAACTAGTTTTAAACTCAGGATTTCAATTCTATATGCTGCTATAATGAAAACTAAACAGTCTCGTCTGTGCTTGTTGTTCTTTGTTCAGTCCAAAAGAATTTCCGTCCTCGGGCACACCATAATGTGTTTAGTGTAAATAAAACGTAGAAATTAGATGTTTTCAACTCCTCATGGCTGTAAAAAATTAAAATTTACATAATGTTAAATTCGAAATTCTCATCTATTTCTAATTTCCTGTTTATATTTTAAAGAGGAGAAAGATATGACAGCGTTATGCGTTGCCGGTTCATCGTTGTATGGTGATAAGGAGCATATTTTCACAAAGAATACGCCAATAAAGCTTTTAAGAAGACATGGTCAAAGGTGATTTCTACAGTTATTCTAGGATAATGTTTGACATTAGTGGTGTCATGATATAGTTTATCAAAACTGTAGTATCATGGTGTCTAGAAAGATACGATATCAGTTATTCATCTTTACTTTTTGAAATGAAGTGTTACTGTAATAATTATTTACTAACCTTTTTTCCAGACTCATTTATGAATCGGAAGAACGTTGCTTTATTGTACACCGCATGGCAAATTCGAGAGTTTATGAGGGAAGACCGGAAGTTTTATTTGATCTGGATGTAGAAGTAAGGCTTTATCTTATTCATAATGTAAAGTTGGATTTCTGCTTAGGTTGCTCAAGTTATATCAAATTTGATTTTCAGCTTGCCGAAGGATTTGCAAATTTAGTGAACGCTTATCCTCGCTGGTGCTTAGTATCGGATTTAAAATGTAATGATGCAGCCGACAATATCAGATTGGCCGAACTTTTATATAGCAATGGATTACTTATGGCTGAATTTCCAGAAGCTATGAGATGAAATTAGATTATTTCGATCAATTAAAAGATACAAACGTTTTCTCAGAGCTGTAAATGGTCTCCTTACTTTCTGTTCCTACGATGATTAGATTTTTTCTCCAGTTAGCAGATTGAATGAATGAAAAATTTCAGTTACTGCACAAGTATCGAATTGACTATATTTCACATCGTCAAGTTTACCTGTTATTGTTATTCTTTGAATTTAATAATGAAAAATATCATTTTATGGTATTGTTTGGCTAACTTTATCGTATTATTGGTATTAGTTGGAATTCGTTATATATTTTGTTGAGTGAAATATCATTTTTTTTCTTTTAATTTGAATGAAAATTTTATCTTCCAGTTATTTATAAGAAAAATTTTTTGAATCACTTTCAACAGTTGTTTAATTTCGATGCACATCCTGAATTTCATTTAGGTGTTTTTCCCTAATTTAGTATTCTTTTTGAAAATTACATGTATGCCGTCGGCAATATTCATCAAATAATTGTATACGCGAGAATCTTTTGAAGCTTTCTGATTTGTTTCATCGACAGCTGCTGTGTTGCGATCTTTTATATAACCAGATCCTTTGACTACACTTCCACCCCATAAGGCCTGGAAAATCAAGCTTTCTGATCTAGATTATAAAATTCAAAATTTGGAATCGAAATTTACAAATTACAGCAATGTTTCCACAAATTTCGATAGACTTACATTATCAATTAAAATAACACCTCCAGGTCGCAGTAGATTAACCGATTGATCATAATATCGTGGATAATTAATTTTATCAGCATCGATAAATACGAAATCCCATTTTCCAGCTTCTCCAGAAACAAGCATTGCATCTGAAAGTTGAAAGTTAAAAATTGTCTTAAATTAATTTGTTGTGATTCATACATTTTGAAAAGTAATGAAACTAGTTTTTAGAAGTCTGAAGTTTTCCAACATACCATAAACATTTTGAACACCAACTTCTGTTAATGTTGCTAGAAAATTGTTGTTCATTTCTTGCATTTTTGCTTCAAAATGGTCAAATTTTCATTTCAAAAGTATGCTTGCCTAGTTTTTGTGCCGCTAATCCAATATGCCGTTTGATTTTTGGATAAATATCTGGTCTAGTTTTAATAAGATCACGACTGATGCTATTATAGCTTCCTGGATAGATATCGATTGTTAGTACTTCGCTTCCCTTGGGCATTGCTAAGGCCCAGGCTACTGCTGATGAACCAGTATAGGTACCTAGAAAGTATCAATTCTGACCTACTTGGCCAAACAAAACACAGTAAAACGAAGATTGTAGTGAAGTTCGGAGGGAAGTCTGTGATAACAGCAAAGTTTTATCTATAGATGAAGAGATTTGCCGTTGGACTTCCAAGCTGAGAATAATTTTGTTAGCTCGAAGAATTTGTAAACGTTGATGTTTACACCTATATCGATAGCTTTTTTAGCTTGTATTAAATGAATAAGATTTTGGCCAAGTTGAAGCACTTCTGGAGCTCCAATCATTCCTCCATCTGGTAGATTCAGTGTTCTTTCAAAAATAATTTTTTGAATTGGATCCATTTTGACTGATATCTGAAATATAAATATATAAATATAAATATAATGAAATATAAAGAACACAAAGGTGTGATTATTAGTTCCAATAAACTTTTAAATAATTGATAAATTAAAAAGAAAAATTCAATTCATAAATATCTTATTTGATAAGATATGTAGCTCTTATGTAGTATCATCAAGTTTGTTTCATAAAAAATGAAATTTAAATTTAAATTTAAATGAATGAAATAAATTTCTTCTCGTATTTTTCTTCCTCTTACTTCAATTATCATTATTAGTTCTGTCATCAAAATGTGCTACAATTTGCTGACTTATTTGTAATTTTGCACTTCTCTTCTCTAATATTTAATTTAAATTTTACACTTTTTTTAAAATAGAAAATAAATATTACTAGAATTAGAAGAAATTAAATGATATGAACTAATAGTGACATCATGAATATCTTTGAAAATGATGTTTATTAATTAAAAATAAGTATGAATGATTACAGAGATGTTATTAGCACTTACATTGACGCAATATCCATAAATGCTATTACTACGCCATGGAATTACACTTGCAAAGCTTATCACAAAAATATTTGATAATATCACTAATATACAAATAAACCATTTCATTATTAAGATGTTGTTGATTGGTTTGATCATTCTGGAGGAATAGTTGTTCGTTTGAGAAATTGAAATAAAAAAAAAAATTTAATCGATTTTACCATATACAATTCTGTACTTCATTGCCATTTAACTTAACTTTTGCACTTTTTGAAATAGGAACTGTTTTAAAATCTTTGATGTCAATTTTGAAAAATGTTTATAATAGCTTATTAATCAAAGCAATTATTAAAAAAAAAAAAAAAATTTCCTCAAAAATTTGATAAATAAAGTGATGAATTTTGATATGATTTCGAGAAACTTAGATCCTGTAAATAAATATAAGTCATTAATAATATATTATTTTAGATTATCACTGATAACACATTATTTTAGAATGTATTTTAGAATCTCTTGCAGCCATTCATTAATTTTTACCTATGAAATTTTCATAGGTAGAAAATTTCAGTGAATTAAGTAAGTAAAATAAGTGATATTTTAGCTTCTGATAAGAAGTTCTTATCTCTCGAAAGTTTAAGATAGCATTTTTAAATTAAATTAAATTCCATCCATTGCTACCTTTATATGATTTCTTAGAAGCATTGCTTTACTTATTATGCTAATACTAATGTCATAGTAACATTTATAATACTTATACTAATACCATTAACAAATTTGCTAATCACATTTTTTTGGAACTCTGATAAATCTATCAGAGTTTATCAGGCAAATCACATAAAATTACTTTAAAATCTCAAGTGATATCACAAACGATCTATCAGTTCTTGACGAATTACCTAATATTAAGGTCAAAAAATTCATAAAGTGAACGGAATATTAACGCAAATGTCTATTTACCCAATGACGTAAACATTGTAATAAATGTTGTAAATCTGTCAGATCGAATTGATGGTAAGAATATCACTTTTGAAATTCCTTCGAAATATACTCACGTGATATGTTCAAAACTTTTTCAAGTTTTCATATGTGTAATCTTTTTTTTTTCACTGACCAATATTTCATTTTTTTATTTCACAAAAAGAATTTTAACAAATGGCAGGTTTAGAAAAATCAAAATAACATATATTCGTTGAGTGAATTAATATACTACAAGTATAGTATGTGATAAAACACAAACAAAAATTCACTTGCAATGAAATTTTCTACTTTTACAACGGTTATACAAAAATTTCCTATGCTCTAGATAAACTATGGAACGATATAAATTATTTAAATTAGAAAATGAGGTGAATATTATTCGTGATACATCACTGTTAAAACAATGATAAAATATTAGAAAAAAAATTTAGGGCTAATATTTCTTAAAATGAAGGTTAAACATAAAAAAAAAAAATTCTTCCAAATTCAAACCAATATTAACCGATGAATTAATCTTCAGGGACTAAAGTATCATTTTTCATTCGATAACCTCTATCATCAAACTCTGATAGGGATGATGCATAAGTTGAATTCCAATCTCGCATGAAAATTTTTTCATTTAAATTAAGAATTATTTCCGAATTTAATGTCGTGTTATGTTGTCGAATTACAACGCTGGCGCCTGCAGTATTGATAAAGTAATCAGCTGACCAGTTCGATGTGCCTATAATAATGATAGAATGCAAAAAACTACGAAAAGTACTATAGCACTTTTATTTTGGCAAGAATTGACTAATAGAATTTTACTTTCTCAAAGTTAACTAATTCAAGTTGTTCGATTCATTGCCGTGCATAAACGAAAACTTGTTTAAATTTTCTATACAACCGAAGATTATGTAAGAGAATCTAAGGTGTCATCTTTTAACAAATGATAATTGACGAATACAAAATACATTGCTCAAAAACGAAGACAATGCATAGGTAATTTTTAAGAAATTTCTCAGAAATTTTTTTACACATTTTAGAAATTAAATAAAAAATACCAATTAAAGCACTGTTATCAGTAACCATATATTTTGCATGATTTACACGAGCGTATGGAATGTTTTTCTGATCGCCTATCGTTGGTACTATGAATATACGTACTTCAATAGAACCCGTTGTATCCGGCACACAAATTAGCTTTCTTTCTGCAACTTCAAAACTTGCCACAAAAATTTCATTTAAATAATTCAATATCACCGACTTAAAATGCTCCAATGCTTATTTGTTGCTCGGAAACGTTTTCAAAAAAAAAAAGTTTTTCACGTTTAGCAGCAAGATCCACAATTCTTTTTAAAAATTTCACTTTTTGTATCATAAGTTCGTTTGCAGGGTAAAGTTGAGGTAATGACTGCTAATGACTTCAAAAAAGCAAATAATGACGGTCGTGTAGTTTTCCACTTGCTTATTAATAATTTCACTTTAATACCATTGTATGCGGCTTTTCGCAAAGCATCATCGATAACAGGCCAGTATCTGCAAACAAAAACCAGAAATCAAGAAAGAACCTTTCAAAGGAAAAAAAAATCAAGAAAAAAAGGGGGAAAAAAAAGAAAAAAGGAAGAAAAACGAAAGAAAGAAAAAAGGAAGAAAAAGGAAAGCAAGAAAAAATTGAAGAAAAAAATCAAAGTCAAAAACTACATACCTATTATTTGCTAAATATAAGGTAGTCGGGAAGTAATCCATCACTGATATATGTATAAATTTTCGAGCAGTATTGATAACATGCAAAATTGCACTAAGATCATTCATACGACCTCTGGTACAAAAAGCTGGTGGTGCACTCTGCAAAATACATTCGTCTTTTGGAAAAACAGAAAATAAAGAAGAAATTAAAATAAATAATATATTATTGAACTAGCTAAAATACTTATTATCAAATATCAGAATAATCTTTAATTATTAAAAGATTAAAAGAACGTAAAAGATGTGATACACAGAGATAAAG